ACAATACATTAACCAAACCGGAAAGTAGCAAGAGTTAGGATAACCAAGGTGGCATGTTCTGGTTACTACATTTTGACCTGGAGTTCCTACGTGCAAAGGAGAATTTCATTTCTGTTCAATACTTTAACTGTTTTGGTTGGGCTTGGCCCACAGGTGTTCACACAAACACTTGGTGCAAACAGCTCTTTCTTCCAGTTAAAACTATTTCATGTCTCAGATAACTCTAAGGCCTGATCTGAGCACCCTCCATTACCGCTGCAGTTGGGTTCTGCCACTGCCCTGATGTGTGAAAATCATTTCACCTCTCCATGCCTCTTCCCTTGCCACCTTTTGCTTGCCTTGCCTATTTACAGACTATTTTCTTTGAAGCAGACTGCCTCCCTGCAATCAGTTCATACCATACCAAGCTCTGTAGGATGCCCAGTCTCAGGGAGGGCTGTAGGTGCTACTACAATACAAATATTTAACATTAAAATGTGGACATGTGCTATGCAGTAAGGGTGTTCAACCCCTGGCCCTCAAAGCCATGTAATTGAGCTCATGGAGCTCCCCATGGGACTGGAAATTTGGTTGGAAGGACGGGGGGGAGCAGTAACAATTAACACTAGCACCGCTCCCCCATCATTAAATTGTCAAACCCCACGTGGCTGGATCAGGCTCAATTCCCACATGGGAGGATTGAGCCAGCACCTGATGCAGCCATGTGGGGCTGGCCCATCCAGGTGCCTGATGTAGCCACGTAGCTGCCTCAGACCCCCAGCCTGCACAGCTGGATCAGGCCTACTTGGGCCAGCAATGTGCCTGGTCATCAGGATGGAATCTGACCTGCAGACAAACCTGGCCCTGTTCATCCAGCCCATGGGCCAAAAAGGTTGGTCACCACTGCTTTACAGCATGGAAACAGTTTGTGCTCATACTCATGGAGGCTGTGAACACAGGGATTCCAGTCAAGTTTATGAACCCTAATGGAACTGTGGAAGAGGCTATACCAGACCGTCCACAAAGCTTACATACCCCTTGAAAATCCAGATGCTATTTACCATCACACACATACTCCACAGATGCAAGACAAACACATTTGGTCTCTTTTTCAAACCAATGATGCACAAATATATGGCAACATCCAAAAAAACAAAAGCCCTCAAAATATCACTGTATTATTTAAAGAATTATCTGTCACCACCACTATGGAACCTGGGACAAGTTAAACTAATATAGCCTATATAAAGAAAGAACTGGAAAGTGAATGCATTAAAACATATTGTGTGCTTATACATGCCAGAAAACATGGATTTTAGTTAATGGATTCCTTACCACACATCTTCGGCTATTATATGCGTGGGGCTACCAGCCTAGCTATTGCCATTACCGGGAATAGAACTCTGTAACATGGTACATCAAATATCAGCTTGTGATGCAAATCTTTCTTGTTTCTTTTTCTTTATCAATCTAAACAACATAAATAGAAGGGCAGGCTACATGATCATAATGGTCTCTTTTGACCTTAAAAATCTATGTACAAAAGTACATCACTCATTCATTAGTGACAAGCTCTAAAGAACAAAATATTCCAAGCTAAAAATACTACCGTGCAATTTGTTTTCCTTACATTTGCTTGTTTGTTTTATTTTAGCCACTGAATTAAAAGTATGGATCAGCTAAGAGAATAAAGACATCTACGTTTGTGCTGGATGGTATTCAGTTTGGAAAGATTAATAAGACTTCCTTTGTGTGTGCTTATCTGAAAATTCTATCAAAGTATTTATTTTCTGTTCAGAAACCTTTGAAGATACAGTCTAATTAACCAACAGCACTTAGAGAATGTAGGTTTCTTCTCCAGTAATAATTAAAAACTGGTGAAAGAAAAATATTGAGGTAAAGCCCTGTAATTTATTTAAAGCAAGCAACCAGCAAATAGAGGGGTTCAAGTTAGTTAAAACTACAATGCAACAAAAATAGACATCCTGGTGGCTTATTTAAATATGTACAAATATGGCTTATTGAATGTACAGGAAGAAAACTGTTTCATGAGTGGTTGAAAGAACTCATTAGGATAATCTGCATATATCTATGATTTATTTCTACAGAGGACAACAATTTTAAGATCTGGAACAAAGTAGATATTAGTGTTAGATAACCTCTGAAAATCTCTGCTGCTTAATTTGCTCTCAGATGGTAGCAATGTTTTTCCTGGGAAGGACCACATGCTTCATTCATTCTTTAGAAGATTAGATTTGCTTAAAATTGTTACGTATAAGAAATTCACACTTCAGCCAAATCTACCTCTTATGCCAGTAAACATTAACAGAAAAACAAAAAACATAAGACGCAATGGCTTCCTGGGGCTTCGGGTCTGCCCCTCCCCTCCCCTTCCAACAAATCTGGTTTATAAACTGATAAAGCTCCACCTTAAATTGTGTTAAGTTGCTCAAGCCCATTACTTCTGCTGGCAGGCATTTCAGCACCTTTTGTAACTTCTAACAATGCAAATGTTCTTATCTTTTCCAGGCTAAAACACAAACCTCAACAAAAGCCATTAGGCTGAAATCTGTTCTCTGAGAAATTGGTGGGGCCACACAGACTCACTATATGACAAGAAGATAAAAGTTTGTACACATAATACACATTAGAAGGGTAGCGTAGAAAATGTCAGCATTAATGTTGGTCATCGATCCTTACTTCCACTCCTTGTTGCACATGCATTAGGATACATTCATTAATTCACATGACTATATCATATTTTTGCTTCAGGAGCCCTACTTAATTCAGCATGTGGATAAGCAAAGGGATGGATCCATGGGGAATGAAGTAGTAGTTTACATCCCCCTTTCATTCCTGGTGCACCCAAAACTTAAAAACCAACTCTCTGATGGTGGCAGCTGCATTTCTATTCAGGCAGCACTGGGGGAGTTAATTGACTCCATGGCTCAATCTCCCTGATTCCTCCTGTATTCTTCATACCACAAAAGTAAAGGACCCTCTCTCCTTTTTAATGGTCTTTATGTTCCATTAATTAATCTGGCTTTTCTTCTGCCATTCTGTTGTCTGTTAATAACTCCTGGTAATGGAGCTCCTATTTCACAGCCCTGCAGACTGTTTAACTCTAGCCAGAACTGAGACTCAGGTGAACATTAACTCAAGAATGGATGCGCTGTCAAGATGCTCAAAACAGCTAGATTTTGCTTTATGAATCTGAAAATGAGATGTACTTTTAATTATAATAATTACCAGACTAATGAAACAACATATTTTGATTATTTTTGCCTAGTTTGTTGTGTTTTTATACATAAGAGATGATAAAAACAAGTTAATGCAAATTTCAATAAAGTCTTATTAGTTTTTGCTTTGATCTTAAACTGAACAATAAACCTCTAGACCACTAGCGTATTAGTAAAATATCTAGTTTCTTTTTAACTGGAGAAAAATATATTTTGTGTTATATCTGATGATGCACCACATTATCTACATCCTGCTTTTTAAAATCCTAGATCCACGCCTGGATAGGCAAGTATTAAGCAAAGGTAATCAATCAATGGTTACCTTTATCTTAACTGTTCAGAGAGTGGCCCAAGGGTTCACCTGCTGCATACTCTCCAACATCAACACTGAATGAGGTAGGGTTTCTATATTAAAAAGCATGTGACTTTGTAATAAAAGAGAAAACTACCGTATTTTCGCGCATATATCCCGTGGGTTATACACAATTTTACAAAAAAAAGGATGGGTGTGGGCTGTACAAGGGTGCGGGCTACGCACAGACTATTTTTTGGAAGGGGGCCAGGGCAGGGGGCCACAGCGTGGGCCAGGGCAGGGGACAGCAGCGCGGGCGGGCTGGGGGGCCGCAGCGGGGCCTGCTGGGCCCGGGCTGCACTGCCACTGCCACGGGGGCCAGGCCAGGCCACACTGCGCCGCTGCCGCCGCAGGGGCCAGGTAGGGGGAGGCAGCATGGGCGGGCTGGGGGGCCGCATCTCCTCCTTGCCCGGGGGTGTGGGGAAGACAAGGGTGCGGGCTAGGCACAGAAAATTTTGCGGAAATGTAATTTTCCACAGGTTATGCATTGGTGAGGGTTATATCCACGTACAGGCTATATGCGCGAAAATATGGTATATCATAGTGTAGTCACTTGGGGGATGGGGTATAGAAGAAAAGAGTTAATACTGCAGAGGCTACTCTTCTAAGGTGAGAGTTCTTCATATTGCAAGTTCAGTTTTGCTTAAATAAGTTTAATATAGTTTGTTTGTTGTGGCTGTTTAGAGTTTCCTAGGTGTTTTATGAGAAAATAAATGAAAAACAAAGAAATCCCAGCATATGCAGCTACTTGCTTGACAGTATCACAGTGGCCTGTCTCCATATACTCACTTTTAGAGATCTTAGAATATGAGGCAAGGCTCACAGACAGTGACACTCATGCACCATCACACAAATAACTATTTTCCACTCAGCTTACACTAAAAACACAGCTAAAAAACTCAAGCAATGGAAATTTTGATTTAGGTTTCCATACATGCACTCTGTCAGTCGAATGTTGTCATGGCAGATCATTCAAAGCAGTATGTGGAGCTGAAAATTCACTTTCCCTAGCTATCTAATCTGGTTTATGGTCACGTTGCATGGACTGCTGCAAAGCAGAAAGAGTACAATGGTGAATCTGACCAATTCCTGTAATCATGTGTCTTTATTTTGATTACAAATAAACGATCCCCTTAATTGCATATGTATAAGATTAAGATTAAAAATGAAACAAACATATGCATAAGAATTTCAAAAGAATGAGAACAAGAAATATATTAAACTAAATCCAACCACTTGGTTCTGCATTACAAATAAATTTAACAGCTGCAATTATGACTGGTTAAGTTTTACCCATACGAGATATTTCAAGGTAAATCATCAATTCTCCAGCAAGCTGGTTGACTGAGAGAACCCTTGTTGCATTTTAATTGAAAATGCTGCATAACACATCTAAAACACTACAGAGAGGGCACAACAGACATACGAACTTTTTCAGGGCAGATTCCAATTCATTCTTTTCATTATCAGCTTCTTGGAGCTGGGAGAAAACTCTGGCCAGAAACTCTTCAAAATTGGAAAGTAAATGAGGCTCCTCTTTTCTGAGCTGTAACCAAAGTTGCTTCACATCACTCTCGCTGAAGGAAAAAGAGAAAAAGAAAAAGAATAAAGGATCTGTTCAGAGACAGGATTTATCATACTATAATAAATGTTTGCAGCAGTCTATTCACACAGTGTAAACTTCAGCAAAAACACTGGCCAAAACATTATCTACAAGGGCAATTTATACAAACCCTGACTGTGACTAGATCTTCTGTGAATATACAGGGATGGGGTGCGTAGAAACGCATGAAAAGAGTTTTGGCTCATTTTCTTTACAGCACAACTCACTTCCAAGAATAAGGAGAAGCATGGGAACTTCTACTCCCATGAAAGCCTTGGAGCATGTCTCAACCTAAAGGGGAGGAAAAGGCAGGGACCAAAAGACTGTGCATTCTATGCCTAAGGTACTCACAGGAATGAGCTTTCTCCATTTGTGTATTCTCCCTAGAGAAAATCATGTTTCCTATCCAGCCATTACACCCTCTCTTTTTCCCTTCCCATGACCTCTCATCATCTGACCTTACACTCAGATAAATCAAATGCCATGCTTAAAGCATGGATTCAGAATAAGCAGGATTTCTTTCACAAAGAAACAAAAATGTATTTCTATTTCAGCTCTCTGCAAGTCAGGATTGTGGGAGATGGACCTCTAAAATCATATGGCAAAGGTTATAGTGTCCTTTTAGTGTGAGGAGACTAGCTATGTCAACACTGCAGTCACAGCAGTGTCTGCAATGTAGGTGTTCACCAGTAGTCAGGATCAGGTTTTGAGAGTCCTGCAGCTCATCTTGAGCACAGGGAAACCCTAAAAGAACACACAATCCCACCAATTCTATCTAAAGAGCCAGAGTGGAAGACTTCTTCTTAATGAGAATTTCAGCAACTTCCCCCTGAACTATCCGGTCCAAAACCAGCATGTTATTAAGTCAATACTATTTTCCTTAGGCTATGCTAAAGACAGATTTAGTGCACGTTCAATGGTACAGTTAGATCACCTGAAAACTGCATAGAGGCATCAGCAAGTTTTTACCATATTTATTTGCATACTACACACTTCCAAATAAGACACACACCATGTTTTTGATAGGCAGAATGAAAAAAAAAGATTTTTCTTAAAAATAAATAATTTAATATAACAAATTATAAAATACACAGGACTATTCTGTTCCACTCATGAGCATACATGTTCACATGTGCTACAAGAGTGACTCAGCAAAGGTGGGGCTATGACGAAGTATGGGTACGGAACTGGAGATTAAGTTAGGCCTATATGAAATGTATCTGGTCATCTATCAATAGGCTGAAACAATACTATTAACAAAGCTATTTGTAAATCAGTTTCCTAATGTAAGACACAAACCCTATTTTTTAATCACAAATTTTGTGGAAAAGGTGTGTGCAGTAAGTGAAATAAATGTGGCATTCCCACCCCCCTCCCCTCCACTCTACCTTCCCCACCCATGCTGTGCAACTTTGGACCAAACTATCTTAGTGCAATTCCCCAATCTCTTTCTCCTTTCAGCTCCACTGCCACATCTCAGATGTACCTGGGATACCTAAAATCAGAATCTCAGCCAAAGACCAATAAACTCAATAGAAGGACCAGCATCACTTATCTCAATGGACTTTGAGACACATTCTATTCTTCTCACTAACTACAGAGATTTTCATGCGTCTCAGATATTTTTTAGTCAATTCTCTGCCTGCATATAAATTTATTTTGTAGATGGATCCTTGATCAATTATATAAGAAAAGAGCAGTGCTCAACGTGAAAGAATTTGTTCCACAATTGTCACAGCCTTTATCCTCCAGTGACTCCAAAGAAGATTTTCTTTCAGAGAACAAACAAGTACAATCTAAGGTCAGTTTTCTTGCTCTCAGAACAATTTCTGTCATTTTTTTTCTGCAAACGGGAGTTTTCACATCATCAGCAGCCTTACATTTTGAATTTGAAATATCCTTCAAAAAGAACACAGGAGGGCTGGGAGATGTATGAAATGCAAACTTAGTGTTCTAAACAAATCAGAACATATAAAAAATAGCCTTACCATGCACTATGCATAAAGGGCTTACTGGATAATGCTGGCTGAGATTTAGTGGAGAAAAACAAACATGTTGATTCAAAACAGTTTGGCAGGATTAGGATTAAAAGGATGCTGGGTAGAAAAGTCATACAGTTTACCCATTTACCATCTGGACAAGCTTCTCATTTTGGAGCATTCATTTTACATGTGACTATCCAACAACACACAAAGTACAACTGTGCTTTGGGACAGGGACCATTTTTCTGTTCAGTGTGTACACACTACACAGATCAATGAGGCCCCAGTCCATGGTTGCAAGGTAGATCCTGACACAATACAAATAATGGCAACACAGTCAGAAGAAGAAACTGGGGCAAGGTTTTCCTGGTTAACTGTTACAGTATAAACATAGTGCTTGCCCAAACAGTGTTCTTTGAAGACTCCTTATTTGCAATGGATAACATTTTTGATATGCCAAATGCACATTGATATGACCTATTTTTGATAAATCACACCAATGTTTCAGTTGTGTTGCTCTTCACTGAGCTCGTGTCGTTCACCACATTATCCCCCAGGGCTCAACTGTTTTGCTTGCATGAATTGTCTTTGAGTGGAAACAAGACATCACCTTTCATTACCTCTGTGCCACCTTAAAAATGTTTAAGGAGACACAAAGACAGCATCACAACACAATGTGGCCGTGACAAAAGATAGCAATAAATTGTGCTGCTTTATTGCGGCAGACGTCTATTTTCGTTATGGTGCAAGAGCCTGAGCAGCCATACCTACGCATACACTGCTACTACCTCGAGGTTAGAGAGTTAGAGGGGCCTGGTCCTGCATGCTCTGGGAATTCCTGCACAGGATTGGGCCCCTCAATTCCTGGAAGCACCTGTCCAGCTTTTCCTGCTTGCAGGGACATTTCCCCACCAATCTCTGGGGCATATCACTGGAAGTGGGAAAAGCCTGGATGCTCTGGTACAGTCCCAGGAATGGGGTCACCAATCAGCTAATTAGTGGCCCTAGCCCGGGGACTGTACCAGAGTGTCAAACTCACTCCAGTGCAGTCCCAGGGCTGAGACTGCCAATCAAGTGATTGGTGGTCCCAGCCCTGGTACCATACCAAAGTGTCCCAGCTTTCCTTGCTTCCCCAGATGTGCCCCTGGGATCTCTGAGGCACATCTCTGGAAGGAGGAACACGTTGCCTGTTGTCCCACCCATTGATTTTTGTAGGACAAAAGGTGACATGTTTCACTCCATGAAAGGGATCAGCTGTGCTGGGACACAGCCAGTCTACTTCATTTGGCAACATCTATTTGTAGCCTTTATGTTCTCACGTGCAGCAGTCAAGGAAATGAATCATCCCATGAGATCCCACAAGATCATTCCATCAGAGCAGTTCCTAGTTCTAATCTTCCACCTGTACCTTTACCAAAGTCCATGAAGATACATCAGAGCAAAAGAAACTGGTCCAGCACTTCCTAATCCACAGAGACCTAAACACCAGATCACGTAACATACATTATCTGATAACACTGCTAGCTAGACTTACTCTTCTAAGTTCCTCCTAGCCCCAAGCTGAGCCATTAGCTTTGAGAATTGGTGGTCTTCATCATCACTCTCATCAGCAAAGTTCTCTTCCCACTTAGATGGAAAGTCGTTTTCATTTTCTGGCCCAGGAGCTTCATTCCTTGAGACCATCTGCCTGAACAGAAATTGGCCTAAAAGTTCAAAAGTGTGCATATGTTAAAACATCCTTTGCTAAGAGTAATCATAAGTCATTAAAGGAAACAACATCAATTACCAATATTTTCCAGATCAAATTTTACAGTAAATAAAGCTTCAGTAGGAAGAAAAACTGTCATTTAATTAATTTGGAGAAGGGAATGTGGTTTAGTACTTGCAGCAAGAGAGTGGGAGTCAGGTCTTCTGAGTTTTAATTTAGCTCCATTCTTACCTTAATTTTTAACCTGGGACAAGTCATACAGCCAAATTTAGGTGCTCAAGCCTAGGGATTCATGCTCCAAGTAGGCATTAAGTATATGGTATAATTCTATAGATGCTGAGCAATTAACTCCTTGAAGCCAATGTAAGTTCAATAAGGACTGAATAGCGAACAACGGTTCTGACACAAGAAATATAATATCATTGCTCATTATATTCTGTTCTCATTTTAATACTTTAGTTTCTCAATGTATGACCCAATCTTACCCTCTTATATAGGCTCATCAGAACGCCCCTTGTTACTGTACATCAGAGCTAAATCTTCCCCGTGCTTACAGTTTCCCATTTAACTTTACACATTTTAAACAAAAGTCTGCCCTCAGATGGGAGCTCCTTCCATTTTCTCATGACATCTCTGTGTCCTCCTTATATTACTTGCAGTTCTACAACCTCACACCTGTTGCCAAAACATAGCAATTGGAGAATCATTTATCATCAAAATGAATCACAGTGGTCAGATTGCCAGGTATGAAGTGGTAAAGTTTAATCAAGATAAGAACCTGGGCCAATTCATGCATTTGTAATCCAAGGATCAAATACTGGCCTGGGATAAAGCCACACTGGAGTAAATGGAAGGTACACACAGAGAGCAGAATTCAGCTCAGCTTGGCTGGCCACTTTGGTGACAGGGAGTGGGCAGAGGCTTAGGCCTTGCTGGAGACTTCAGGGCCCTCATGGATGAGTCTAAGGAACCAGCCATAGGGTGGCAAGACAGGAAAAGCAGCAGTGTCGACCATACTGAAGCCCTGGGTTTGAAGCCGTAGTCTGACAACATAGACCTGAGGGACAAGGAATTCTTTGTTAAAGAAGCAACAGACCTGACAGCAGGGTATATCCAAAGAATAAAAGGTCATACTGTCAGCCAGGAGCAAGAATGCAAGATGTGGATCTTAGCAGAGCTCAGGGGGAGG